CACCCCCCCCCCCCCCCCAAGCAAATGACGCGAGCAGTGGGAATGGGGGAACTCGTGAAAGGCAGAAAGGAGAGGGCTGAAAATTTTGTGTCTTGGTTGCACTTGTGTGTTCTGGTAGCGGCGAAAATTTACGGGACGTTGCGTCTTCTTTCTCCTCCCCGTAGTTGCCCCACTCCGCACCGTCCCTTTCCACAACCGATGAGTGCTTTGTCGGCGCCGCACCTTGCTGCCATGTGGAGAATATAAACAAATAATACTAGGCTCACTGAGTGGCCAACATCAGCTGTGATGGCGGCCCCGAAACGCGCGTTGTGCCCGTGAGAACCGGGTGGAGGGGTGGCCACACGGCGCATGCTCAGTGCCGTAAAACGTCTCCCACCACGCGGACGCCGTAGTGGAGTCTTTGCCGGCTTGTCGAGGCCGCAGAAGCGAGAGCCCATGTCTGGAGCGAAGAGGCTATGTTGCTCCCGTGTTGGAGCTGGTTTGGGGTCCCATCACCTGCAGATGCCAGCTTCCTCTTGTAGTTCCTTCCTACTGTTGGGTGCTTGTGCTGGTGCGAGTGGTTTTGTGCGCCATGGTGCGGCGGGCGTGGTGCGAAGCCCGGACACTTTGTTGGACATAACGGCCAAGATCGTAGCTGAAAACATCCCGTTCCAACGGATCGAGGAGCGGTATGACCGCATCCCCGAGCCTGTGCAGAGACGCATTATTTTCTGGTCGTTTCCCAGGGATGAGCGCGACATCTGCATGTATTCGTCCCTGTCGCGAGTGCCTCCTGTGAGCTCGAGCGGTGAACACCAAAACCTCTCCTTCTATAAGGGATTAAAACTCTTGGAGTCCGGGTGCGTGGACAGCGTGCTGCAAGTCGGTGAGTGCAGTGCAGTCAGTGTTTCAGCGTGCAAGTGCTTGCTGTGTGCGTGCGTGCGTGCGTGCGTGGCTGCCTTGGTCCGCTCTTGTGCTAAGCGGCTTAAGCAGAGTGTCGCTCGGTAAGACGTGCCGGGTCGCTGTGTTCACAGGGCCGCAAGCTGAAGAACCCTGCAGGGACACCAACATCGTTCATAATCGACACACAGAAAGTCCGGTTCCTTGATCTTAGGGGACGGCAGGAATTGATGATATTTATACACATTATATACCGGTATCTAGGGTACATTTAAACCAATGTCAACACATCGGATACTGATCGTAGATGAACGGAGTCACGAAGTTGTAGGCAGAACGGGAACATTGTTAAGTGAGCTTATATGTTAGAAAAGATTTAAGACCTTTGATTGGTAACCAAGGGAATCGGGATGGAATAACGCACAGTGGGACAGAAGGGTCACTGAGGGAAACGTGCTTAAAGCCTAATTATTAAGAAGGAATTTCCAACGGCATGTGTTCGGGAGAAAACCTCGTATCCAAATGTGTAATCTTGGATAATATTAGAGCTAGGAACATCTTGATTTAAACCGTGTGCCATTTATCGAGTAGCATTAGGGCATTATTTCACATGAATGACAGGAAACTTATTTTATGAAGTAAAGTAAAATTTGGAAAATGACCACAATAATGATGCCCACAGAAAACCGTGTGAGTACAGCCGGAAAATTCAGGATTAGACGTTAGTGGTGAAGTATTCCAGAAAGTTTTGTTGGAAATCGGTCTAAAAAAACAATTTTTGATTATAATTCCAGTGTTTAACACGATTCCACAACATGTTTAGACCATAATTGGTCGTTTTCAGGTGCTGAGTTATATAAACATGTATACAAATTAGAAATCATATTTGTTAGTTTCGAACACTTAAAGAGAGCCACCGGAAGATGGCCAATTAAGATGCTGCCCTTAAATCTCCAGAGAGTTTTTTGTACGTGGGACAATTTTGCCTGTTAATGTGCTTACGGTGTACAAAACCAAGGTAGACAGTGCCGGTTGTATAAAAAGGGAAAAATTTACAGGATGGATTTTAAAATGAACACAAGAGAATCCCCCCCCCCCCAAAAAAAATGCATAAGGAGGAACCCAGCTTAGTCCAGAAATGTGCATTGCTATTTGTTCTTGGATACAGAAATTCATATCCACCTCAAAAAATGTCCCACAGTCGAAGGGCATTCGTAGGCGAAGCAATTCGTTCTCTTAGTAGACCTGAACTGGTTTCTGATTTAGATACAAATTTCTTTTCGTTGAGTAACACTTCAGAAAGAATAAAATCTGTCGTTTCGTTAGAGACGTAGACAAACGGAATTTGGACATCGATTAAGCGACGAGACAATCTTTGGCTAATGACGTGACTGAACATCAGTCAGCTCTATCTGTGCTGAGCTTATTTTTAAGATGAAAGTTGTCGTATGCTGAGCTTACTACTTTAGTTTCCATAGTATTTCCTTGGCAACTTGTGATTGTTAGTACGTCACAAATGTTTAGATTGAATTTCCAAAAGATGGCATGAAATATTTGATTTTACTTTAGTTGTGCGTTCAGGGTTGTTATAATCGAAATATATCGACTTTAGCATTTAGGAGGATGCGCATTGTCACTCGGTTTTAATATGACGTTTAAAACATGAAATTAAACACGAACGTGTTTATCGACCGCCCCTGCTTTACAGTATCCACGAGACGTCAATGCTGTGAAAATATTTTTTAGAAAATGGCGTGGGATTAATATTATACACGATCACGCTAAATATCTCTGTGGCAGAAAAGATCTTTGTGTAGGTGTTGCGTTTGTGTGCAGTATCTTAATGTTTGTGTTGAGTCATTTAATTTCTGTGCTCATATTTGTGTTAGTTGATCGCAAATTCCAAGAGCTTATTGCAGTCTGTTTAAAAACACGTCCCACATTGCAATGTTGCCCAGCTGTATGCTGAATAACTGCCTAAAAGTGAGGGCTGGTGTGAAACATGGAAGTATCCGAAAGAAGCTAATGCTCTTAGAACGGGTAGTATTGTGTGGTTCTGGCGAATAGCTGTAGGGAATACGTTCCATTCTTTGTACATCTTCGCCCTGTCATTTTTAGTGCACATAGCGACCCTGGTGGCGACTGAGGAAAGTATTTTCTTGAAAAAAATTTAGCGAAGATCCAGAAAATTGCTGGTTTCGAATAAGAAATTGGATTGTTTTATCTCTTGTGTAGCTATTAAAATATTGGCAGTTGGTTCATAAATGTCACAGGTGACGCCTGTAGAGGCTGCGTCATCTTTATTTCCATTATCTTTGGAATTCGGAAACCGTTAATAGTTTTTTGGACTCCTAAGAAGTAGCGTCGAACACCTTAAGTAAAGACCTTGTCCTTTTGTGATGCAATTCGAGCGGCTCCCTTGTATTGGCACCTGGCATCCGGATGGATGGACTCCACAATGCCTGTCATCCACTTCGTTCGGCTGGGCTCTTATTTTGACCTGAGGCTTAAATAGACCAAATGCTGACAAAATCGAAAAAAATGTATTAACCATAGACAGACTATAAAGAGATAAAATTTCTCTGGTGTACGAATGTTTTTGTGTGTTTGAACTGTACGAACCGTAGCTGTGTGGGTGCTAGTGTACAGTCAGCACTATTTTTTGGCTGCCCAGACTATACCACAACGTATTATCTGAACTATTAAGACCTGTGATCTCTCTTTTACGTTATCTTACCATATTAGTCTGAGACACGGAAAATGCTGTCATTTTATAGTCAAGAACGCCTGCACGAACTCTGTTGATTCCTATTCGGTCAACTCTTATTTTAGAAATTAGCACCTATTAATTGGTAATTGGCCGAAAGTTAACTGGGTCATACGAATTTGTTAAAATACGTGTCCCGTGGTCCAGAAGCAAAGATACGCAATCATTTGATTGGTGCAACGTATAATGTTATCTGCCTAGTTATGCACATATATTACTGGAACTTTTCACGATGTTTTTGAAATGAGAACGATGCAGTATGGATTTAGACAACGGTAGACGGTTGTTTGCAACACTGATTGTGTATTGTTTCGTGTTTCATCAATTTTATCGGAGAACCAGGGTTCTTGTCCCTTTATATTCTTCCCGCTGTCATGTTCATAATTCTTTGTCCCTGTATGTCTGTGTCTGGAGGTTTACCTCCAAATTTTCCATTCACCTCACTGTCATGTGTCATAAACGCAGGGGCAGTCTGGCATTGGCATCATTTCCTACATTTTATCGATATTGTGGATTTTAAATTAACTGCTAAGGCGAAACAACAGGCAGTATGTCAGGTTTTGCAGTTGAGTGGTCGTGTTAACCCATCGCTGTTTAATCGGATGATAATTCGTACTAAAGAGGACTTGGAGCAAGAGTCGGGCAGTGTTGGTTTGCATCCCACCAATAGCGAGTTGTCGAGAGCACGGTAATGGACCTTGGTTGCATAAAACCAGGCAATTTCTAGAATAGTAGGTGGACTCTGCTCCACGGAGTTCAGTTTGTTAGTCAAAAGGTTTCGTAATCTCAGAAAAACGTTAATGCGTGACTGTTGAATCTGTGTTAGTTAGGATTTCTGGGAAAAATTTAAGCAAGGAAGTGCTTTTTGTTAGTCGGCATTTCTGTCTACAGTAAAACACTCGAAAGGTGAAGATTTATGAAAGAGTTTTGGGCTCATATTGATGAAGGAGGGACGAAGTAAGTGGGCAGTTTTAAGAGTTACGTGACGAGAAAGTTTTTGATTTGTAGTTCACAAGCCCCTTAGTATGCTGATGTTAAACGGCGTATTGAAAAGAACTGCTTTGGTATGGAGATAAGTCTGTGCGCAGCCACGTGGATAAGGATAGGGTTGATGCGGATTTTGGGGAAGTGTGTTGTGAAGGGGGGATTGTACCTGGAGGTTGTGCTGCTGGACAGAGTTGACACTGAAATACGGGAATAGGGATGCTGACCTTGTGGCGAACACTCGTTTGGATGTATCGGATATAGTTCGCTTGAAAGTAACCGGTATACGGGGAACTCGGAGAATTCACAACACCTACACGCGTAAATCGGGTACAGTCTCTGAACAAAGTGCAGATGTCCGCACGTTTCTGTTGCTAGGTTACGAGAACTTTAAAGTTTGTCTGCCTTAATCGCCGTGATGATTTGTATTCCGCATAATTTATTACGGCGTCCAGAACTGCTGTTAAACCAACAGTGTCTCCTTTATCATCGGTACCGGTGAATAAAGCGGCCGGAGCGTGAAGCCAGTTGCATCTTATCTAGTACCCTATAGTTTTCGTACTTCTGACGTGACGCTTATGCACAGGGAAAATACGTTCGTGGTATCATTGCATCTGCGATTCTGCAATTTCCTGACCACGTTTTTGAACTGACAGACAGATGAGCAGCTGGAGTATGCGGTCAGTAGGTCCAGTACCAACATGTTGCCCGGCCGAACGTCTGATGTGAGCGCTGCTTAATGCAGGGTCCCGACATTTTCTGTCGTGCGGCAATGTTTGAAAAAGCCGGCACATTAGCATTTTATTTCGTGGCAATAAGTGACGAACCAGTAAAGCAAGTAGACCATGTGACGTTCTGTAGAACATAATACACACGCTTACAAATGCTGTGCTAAAGATTGCAAAGGATCATAGGCGTTTGAGAACAAGGCACTTTGAAGGCAGTAACAGGGAACTGGAGAAAGTAATCTGCGTGCTTCTGTTTGCCTGTTATTAGGGGCATCAAGTCAAGGGGGATGCGATGGATGGGGCATGTAGCACGCACAGGAGAGATGAACACTACATACTAAACTTTAGTCGGAAGAAACTGAAAAGGGGAGACAAGTTTGGAGATCTAGGCGCAGATGGTAGGATATTAAAGTTGATATTGAGAAATCGGTTATAAGGGTGTGGGATGAATTCTTGTGGCTGACGGTAAGGTCCGGTTTTGGGCGGTTGTGAGTAAACCTTCTGATT